GTCTCGACACTTTTGCTGACGGTTCATTTTTCTGCGATCTCAAGATGAATAAAATCAGTCACAGTAGCAGCGAGTTGGCAAGCAAAAGATGTGGTCTGTGACCAGAAGTTAGGTCCAAAAAATAGTAGCATTGACATTAAAATGCGGAGGGGGGTGCGTGTCGTTAGTTAGCTCACCTGGCCTTCATTCCCCTTCTCGCCGCAGTATACACGTAAAGATCAGTAGCATATTTTGAGCCGCGGGCTGAGCAGACTGAGTGCTGAAGAAACAAGCATCTATGAGTATAATTTCATGGCTAGCATTGAACACTGAGCCCTCCAATTACTCTGACCAGAGTACCCAAGGCACAAGTCACAAGCCGTCTCTGTATCAAGGACAAAGTTGGCTACCTTTTGCCTGAGAAAGAGCTGGATATAATGTTGCATTAGGGCAATGGCCAAGCCAGAGGGGCAGTGATCAACAAGGCACCCCTCAAAGAGCTATACTCACTACTGTGGGACCAATGTTGTCAATCAATCAATACTTGGCTGGCCATTGGTTGTTGAGGGCGCGTTTGGTCAACTGCACCTTGGACTCAGTGGAGTACATCTTGACCAGCTTTTGCATCGAAGCCCTGGTGCAGCCTTTATTCAAAGAGCTTCTCATAGGCCACCATTGCCAAACATTCCGACATTACGGAGCAAGCATACATTGCGCGGTGTCGATCGATATTGAGGAGCCAACTGCTGGAGAGCTGTAGTCCGGTAAGCTTGGCACGCGGCACGCTTTTCAGCTCGCCGTCCGGTACCGAGGCTGCTTGGCATGGATGTAGACACAGTCTAAGCTCTCTTTATGTCTCAACGGGATCTGCGCAGGCAGTGAGGCTTTATCACAGAAAAGCCCACAGCACCGCTCAAATTTCCTATGAATGATTGTTTTCTTCCAGTACTCTTCAGGAACGATGCATGTAAATCAGAGTCCTCGCAAAGCATTTCAGCGCCGGCACGCACCCAGGGTACCGATGTTGCGACACGGGCACCGAGCAAGGCATTCTCCTCATTAGACTGAGGAAACCGATTCGAAAGCATCATCCTGCAAGTGTCACATCGACTCATGCGACGCCCGTCCGCTCACCCGCGGCAGAACGAAACACCACTTAGTGAGCGACTGCGAAGCAAATGCGGGAGCACTTCGAAGTGGATAGCCACACCGCTTTGGCGCGACGCGGCAAGACCGAATGTGAAGCCAGCAGAACACCTCTGCGTCAGACTAGATCAGCAACCGAGCTACAGCGAGCGTCATTTTCATTGTGTAATGCTGCTGCGCAGGGTGCACACTCTTTCGAAGGCTGGCGAGCTGACAAGATTACTCCCAGGCTATATGTACGAGCAGTCAGCGAACGCCAAACGCGCGCGGGATTCGTTGTCTGCGCTAATTCCCGGCCGGCGTGTCGAGAGCGGCAGAGGTAAATCAGCTTCGACTCAAGGACTAGATTACTAAAGACTTGAATTTATTGCTACCACGGACGTGCAGATCGAGCAATTAGAGCATGGAGCAACGCCATCACCGCGGCAAGATGTTCAAGAGTGGTACCGGAAACAAAACGACAATGATGACCTTAGAGCGCAGAGGCGCCTCGTAACCTGCGTGTCGACTCTTGCGAGATATAAGAAGGGAGCTGCGCCGAGTCTGGAGCGCGAGCGATGTGCTGCATCACCCCTTCTCTCCTTTCTCCCTTTCCCTTTCATTCGTCGAGTCGCTTGCCCGTCATGCGAGCCTTTCGCTCCTTCCTCTGCCTAGTCGCGGTCACAGCGAGTGAGTACGGAGGTGATGTAGAGCAAAAGTGTTGGCAGACAAAGTCGAGGGCTGACACATCGGCCCTTAGACATTGAATGGACCGCTGCTTCTTCTGTTCCGATGGTGTACAAGGATGGGTTCTGGTTCACCGAGGTAAAAGTGGGAGAGGCTCAGCTGAACGTGAGCGCACCTGTGACAGGCTCACGTGTGTGTGTGGTCCAGTAGCTGATCACCCCTCTTCCCATTGCTTGACGGATCAGCTGTTGATGGACACTGGTGGCGGACCCATCTTGGTGAATCCAGGCCTATACAAGCCCTCTCCGGCCTCTGGTCCTGCGCCTGGCAAAGGTCAGCACTCTTGGTTGCTATACGAGTCCACGGAGAAGGACGGTTCGGGCACGCAGAACGTGAGTGAGCAAGTGCGCACAAACGGCGAGTCCTAGCGGGATGAAACTCAAAGGCGTCACCTTGATCGGTGTCAACCTCACATGCTGCCAGTACACCATGCGCTTTCGCGAGGAGACGGTTTCACTGCCCGGGTCGGCACTGTCCGCAAGCAAGATTGTGATTGGAGTGCTGGACGACGACTCGCCTGCACTTCCTGGCGATGGGCTCATCGGTTTTGACAATGTAAATATATGGAATTACAGTACCGCATTCGTGCCCACCTCTTGCGCGCAGGGTACCTTGAAGCCGTGAGTCAGCCTTGAGAAGGGCAGGAGATGCCGAGCAAGAAGGCGAAGCGTGGATGCTGAGCTGCGCACGCGCTTTTGGCGTGGCGACGATTAGGTGCAAGTTCGGGCTGCAACTGAACAGCGACGATACGGGCGCATTCATCACGGACGACAGGCTGATGCAAGGTCCCAAGGAGATGGCGACGATCGGCAATGGCAACAAGGGGAGCGCGCTCGACCGCAAGGCGTTTGGATGGATAGCGCAAAACACCAGCCAAGTGATTCAGGTCACTGTGGGCGGTGTGCCAGTGCTCGGGTCGAGCGTTGACAATTTCCAAGTGGATAGCGGCACAGTGAGTAGGCGAGTGAGTGGCCGGCAAGCTTCGAATGTGCTGCTCCGTTGACGCTATTATTGTGGGGCGTGCGTGCAGGCCAACACTGTAATGACGCCTGCTCTGGCCAGTGAGTGAGGAGGGAGCACTGGACGCGGTGCGTGCTAGAGTCGGTAACAGACTGAATACGAGACATGACGCAGAGACTGTACTCCAAGCTGCTGGGCTCACGGTCGAGGAGGATGCCAAGACGGGTCACGTGCAGGGCTGGTATGATTGCAGAAAGGCGGCCCCCATCATTGTGCGTGCACAGGGGGGAAGGGGTTGGGCGAGCAAAATGACCCATGCAGATGGCTGATCGCCGCGCTCCACACCGCGCTCCACACCGCGCTCCACACACACCCACCCGCAGGGCTACAAGATCGATGGCGTGCAATTCGACTTTTTGCCCCAACACATTGTGGCTAGGCGGGATGTAGCAGCGGAACGTTGCTACGCCAGCGTGGTAGGCGACAAGAATGTGAGTGGCCTGGCCTGGCCTTGATCGAGACAAGCTATAGGCTGTGCTCTTTGGAGGAGTTGGGTTCCCTCTGGCGCCGCACCTCCCGTCGCTCGTGCGCATTCACGATTGCCCGACGCTGACTCGCTGACTCGCTGCGCTCCTTGCCGTTGCTGCTGCTGCTGCGGGCACTGTTGCAGGCAAACAGTTCCATGTGAGTCAAGTCACGAGTTGCTCTTTGCGCCAACCGACTCGAAGCGGCTGCATGCACGTGGTTGACGACGCGCGACGACGAGCTTGCTGCTTACGCCTGCCGTGCCTACGTGTCGCCATGCAGAGGAGCTCTGCACCTCGTGGGTCAGAATTGGATGCGCAATGTGAGTTCTCGTCAGCCTGGAATTGCGTGGAGCTAGCTGCATGATGGGCGCTGAATAAACGATCGAATGCGGATTCCGCGGGCGTCGCGCGCGCGCATGCCAACACGTACTTGACGCAGATGTACATTGAGCACGACACCGAAAAGCTGGCCATGACGTTCAGAAGGACGCCTTAGTGGTGGTGCTAGAAGTGTGCGACGCGGTGCATTGCACTGCCATGCGATGCCATGCGATGCGATGCGATAGCATAGAAGCTTATCACCAAGCCGCTCAACCTTGTGGCACGTGACTCAGTCTGCCCTCCCTCACCCGCCCCTTCTTGCCCTGCCACGTCCCTGATTCATCAACAAATCCTCCCCCGGCGCTCCCCCGGCGCTCCCACTCGCACCCTCCTTCCCCATTCGCGTGCATGCGTCTCAAGACTCGACGCAAGCTTGGATGCAATCAATCCCTTTCCAATGCCGTTCACATTGGTGATTGTCATTGCAGTGTCTCTTCCCTGAGCTCGCATACAGATGCAACGGCCGGCGATGCTGCGATTCGATTCTGAGCGAAGCTCTTTGCGCAAGACGTTCTTGGCAGAGGTAAGGGAACGTGTGCGTGTCGGTCACCGCGATGGAGCAGAACAGCTCTTGGCAGGGTCGATCGATCGATCAGGCTTCCATGTGTGAATTCTGGTAGTCTCGCGTCTCGCGTCTCGATTGTGGCGCACTTGCGATGAGAGCCAAGCCGGTGCCTGCGCCTGTGCCTGTGCCTGTGCCTGCAGGTGGCGTGTGAGCAGATAGGGTCGCGCGATGGGTGGGTGGCAAGGCGATTGCTTGTGTGGCAGTCGCGAGTCTGCCAACTCGAGGCAGTGGAAGAGCGTGGGAGTCAAGGGGGGCGGTTCAAAAGTGGAAGACTGGACGCAGTCAAATCACCAATGGAGCAAGGAAGCAAGGCAAGGCGGAAGAGGATGATGGATGATGGCATGCAATTTTGAATTCAAGATGTAGGCGAAATCGCAAATCACCCAAACGCGCGCGCGCGCGTCTTGGCGCCAAGCCTCGTCTTTGCGCGCAGGGAATGTGAATTCAAGATTCACCATTGAAGCAGCTTCACTCGCGTGACTACAGCCACCGCACCGCGGGATTACCATGCAGTCGTGAGTCGTGAGTGCCGTGAGTGCAGAGCCTTGAGCGTTCGTGCCCTCTGCATGGCGTGACGAACTCGCCGTGCATGTGTGCGCTGGGGTGCGTCAGTGTGAGTTGGTGCTGCGTTTTGCTCGGCCTTCGCACTTCCGGCTGCAGCTAGGGCAGCTGCATGCATGCAGGTCAGGTACCTGATCGGTGTGATACGATTTGAATAGATTCACATTCAATATGATGTGTCCGCGCGTCGTGCTTTTCATTGAATTCAACAGTATGTACTGTATGTAATCTCGACTTTTATTCAGTCATTTCATTCTTGATTGTTGATTACAAACTTGCCTTGCCCGCCAAGAGGAGATGCGCACGTGTTTCCAAGCCTCTTTCTTCTTCTGAAGCAGAAAAGACCGAAGCTCACGCGACGCGCAGCTCATCAGCGCGTAAAATGCATCGCTGATCCCGTGCAGTTTGAGTTTCCTCTCAAGTCACGTCGTGAGTGTGAGTCTTGAGCGATGCGTTGAGTTTGATGGCCGCGGTAAAGCGGCTGCTGGATCCTCACTGTCTTCCTTCATCCTAACACGCGCTCAATCACCCAAGAATGCGGTAGCACAGAAGATCGACTGCCGTGAAGAGGGCAGGGCAGGGCAGGCACTCTGGGCGCGCATCTCGCACTCTTCGGCGGTCATCGAATGCGAATGCGAATGCGAATGCGAATCCTCATGCAAGAAGCGCACGCTCCGTAGGCTTGGCTTTGGCTTTCGCCGAGGCTCCAACGGCGGTTGCAACGGTGCGGATGGCAAGCGGCCTCGGCTGCGGCTGCGAGTGACGCCGCCTCCGCCTGCTAATCATGTCCGAAGATGTCGAGCTACCTGAAGGCAAGGAATGGTGAGGATGGTCCTGCGCACAAATCGAGTGTGCGATACACCGCCTGCGCGTGAAGAATGCGCGGTACGGAAAAAGGGCCTGAATTGCTGCGAGCAGCGCGATGAGAAGACTCGTGTCCAGGCAAGCAGGCGAAGAATACAAAAAGGCGGGCGAGGATGAGCATCGCACTCGGTGTCGTGTCTCTCTCCTCCTCCTCCAGCCTCCAACAGCTTTGGCTTCCTGCCCCCTCCCTCACCACTCACTTCTCTTGGCCCCCCTCACATCCACCTCCATCATGTGGGCAGAGTATGACTACCTGTTCGCTTTCGCGATGATCGCGGCGTTCATCGATGCTTTCGGCATCGGTGCAAACGACGTCGCCAATTCGTTCGCCACATCCGTCTCTTCCCGCTCCCTCACCTTTCGTCAGGCCATGATTGCTGCGGGCATTTGCGAATTTCTAGGCGCGGTGCTCGTCGGAGCGCGCGTCACTGCCACCGTTCGATCTGGCATCATCAACATTTCTCTGTTTCAGAATCAAGCCGACACGGTGCTCCTCGCTTTCACGTGCGTCTGCATAGGCTCGGCCACTTGGCTCACCTTTGCTACGCGGCATCAGATGCCAGTATCGACGACGCACACCGTCATCGGAGCGCTGATCGGCGTGGGAATCGCTGCTGGCGGCGCATCGAATGGCGTGCGATGGGGCTGGAGCGGCGTGGGGCAGATCTTTGCTTCCTGGGGCATCGCTCCCGCCATCTCCGGAGCGCTCGCAGCCATCGTCTTTACGTTTACCAAGTACGCCGTACTGAAGCGCAAGAATGCAGTGGTCATCGGTCTGTACCTTGGCCCCGTTTACTTTTTCGTCGTGGCCGCCATCCTCACCACTGTCATCATCGCGAAAGGTGCGCCTTCCCTGAATCTCGATGAGATGTCCCCTGGCGCCACAGCCGCTGCCATTCTCGGCACAGCAGCAGTCGTTTCGCTCCTATCCGTCATCTTTTGGCTTCCTTTTGTCCGCGGCAAGGTTCTGAAAAAGGATTACACCCTTCGATGGTATCACTTCTTCTACGGGCCTCTGCTCTGGAACAGGCCAGCTCCTGCTGATGCGAGCCACGAGAAGCTCAATATCGTCGACTACTACGCGGGCCATCGCGCTGAAGATCATGCCCACCACTTTCACGACGATGTCGAGACGCCAGTCGCTGCTGGCACAACTGGCATCCACAACGCAGCACCAGACCACGTAGCTCCACCGGTCAACGGCAGTGCCGAGTCCTCTGGAGGCAGATCTTCGCGGGATGAAAAGAATGCGCTTGCCCCCGAGGATGAGACAGCGCAGCAGGAGCCTCAACCTTCAGAGCCACCCAAACAGAGGCATTCCAAGCTGGCTCTGCTCGAAGCGAGAATCTCTGGTCGCGACGCGCACCTGAACACGGATGAGAACGGCATCCCGTACCCTCCGCCGTACCGCACCTACCATGGTTCTTTCCTCGAGCCATGGAACATGTACACCATCTTGCGATACAACGCCGTCCCATGGGTCATCTATTTTTTCACTGCAGGTCTGCGCACCGACATTCACAAGATGCAAGACAACATGGGTTCCGCAGAGGACAAGAAGCGCGTCGCTAGAATGCACGCCACCGCCACCGAGTATCCTAACGAAGTCGAACACCTTTACTCCTTCCTGCAGGTGCTCACTGCTTGCACTGCCTCTTTCGCACACGGCGCCAACGACGTAGCCAACGCCATCGGACCTCTCTCCGTAGTGTACCAAGTCTGGTCGACGATGGAGATGCCGGGACGTAACTCTGTCGTGCCCGTGTGGATCCTCGTCTATGGAGGTGCCGCCATCACTATCGGTCTGGCACTCTGGGGCTGGAGGCTGATGGCTGTGCTCGGAAACCGACTCACCCTCCACTCGCCTTCGCGCGGATTTTCGATGGAGTTTGGCGCCTCTATCACCGTCGTGCTGGCATCCTACCTCGGTATTCCCGTCTCTACGACGCAGTCCATCACTGGTGCCACGCTCGGTGTCAGTCTGTGCAACGGCGACTGGAGAGGCACCAATTGGAAGGTGTTTGCTTGGATCTTTTTCTCCTGGGTCTTGACTCTGCCCTTTGCCGCCCTCATCTCTGGCTGTCTTTACGGCATCATTGCAAACGCACCTCGAGGCGTTGTGTAGATCAGGGTAGATCAGCTCGCTCGATGCCTAGTCTCGTGACTGTTTTATATGTGGTGCTCGTACCAAATGCTTTCGAATGTATATGACGCTGTTCACACGAGACTATTGCTTCGCTCTGATGACATCGCTTTTGTCTGCGGCGAGACACAGGCCCGCTCTCAGACCACCGACTCGCGTGTCAGAACGACGCTCGCTACAACCAAGAGCTTACGAATGGATAGGAGCGTATGGAGCCAGGCAGCGAGATGCATGAAAGGGGACAGCTGGTCATCCCTCGTCAGCTCGCGGCTTAAAGACCCTTGATCGCGTTGAGGGGACAGCCACGGATAATGATGCGGTAAAGGCGCTCAGACGGCCGACCATGCAACAGCTTCAAGCCAACCTTCGAAGCCTGAATTGGTGTGCGAGGTCCTCGATGTTGGACGTCACGTGTGGCGCGCACGACGCGCACCACATCATCGCACGTGTCCTTGGCTGTGGTATCAAGGTTACGAATGACATCTGTCACTCGGTCGTGCGCATTGAATCGAAAAGTTTGAGCGCGCTTGTGCAGCCACTATGATGCACTCTAACCCATCGAGCGCTCGAACGCACAGCAGGAGACTGCATTCTTCATTACTTGCTTGCGGCTCAAGGCACAGGCTGCACCATAGCATCACCTTTGCGCACGGCAAGCGACGCGAGGCGACCACACGCGCTTTCTAGGGGCAGAAGGTGACGTCGTAGGTGGTGCCGAGGGGAGCGGTGTGAATCTTGCCCTGGTTGTCATCTGGGTTCTGGAAAGCGGCAGCGCAGTCGCTGTTGCTGTTGCAGTCCAGCGTTGTGCCTCCACCAGAGACTCGCAGAGGAATATTGACATTGAGGGGCGGGTCGGCGTCCGTCTCGCCCGCGCGCGACAGGTTCCAGTAGACTGCAAGAAAGGCGCGTGGATCAGCATGCAGGATGATGGCCGAAGGCTGCTCGACAAGACTCACTCAGATCGCCGCTGCCGTATCCGTACTCGGAGAGGATGACGCCAGAGGTGATACCTGCATCGTTGCAGAGCGTGTCCCCATTGCAAGCGCCGGTCTGGCAGTTGGCACCGTTGGCATCGCAGCCAGTACGTCCCCACGCTCGAATTCCGGTTTGGTGGTCATCAATGTTCCAAGCGTTTGACGTTCCGGGAGTCAGGTGGTATCCGTAGCTGCTCATTGACGTCAGCAGAAGCGTTGCAGTGGCGCTAAAGGCTTTTCTGCTACGCACCGAACACTGTTGTCTGGCTGACCGTATGGAGCTCTGCCGCCTGCGGGCCAAACGTCGTAAGGGCAGTTGTTGTGGAAGCTGGGATGGGAGCGCAAAGTGGTGTTAGTAAAGGTATCGATGCCAGTGTTAGTAAAGATCTCGATTCCAGACATTTTACTTGCTCAACTCACTTGAGCGTGAAACCTCGAACGGTGGAAGGGAGAGCTGCGGCAACGATGCCGACAGCGATGGCGGTTGTGAGCTTGAACATTTTTGCAGGGAAAGGTGTTGGGTGCGCGGATATGAGTGAGGGATGCTCGAATGCGAGATGCTCCGTGTGTTGCGCCTTTATAGCGCAGCAGTCTCGTCGTGGCGACGCTCAGTCGACAGCTACGGCCAGAAAGCCAGAGACGTTCCTCGTGGCTTTAGAATGGAGATTGCCGCTCTATCTCTCACACACCGTGTTTGTGACGCTTCGAGCTCCTTGCTCAGCATTACAACTCCCGCAGGGCTTGTATCGCTCGCATGTCGTTTGAGTCGCTTGCTCCGCACACGTGTCACATCAGCTCTTGCGTTGATCGCTCGGAGGCAGAGTAGAGTGCCGCACCGGTCACCACTCGCGCGACTTTGAAGCGGTGTACCGCAGTTTTCAATCTCGGCAGCACTTTCCGGCGGACAGTTATGCGCGCTGCTCAGATTTCATGATTGTCATTTCGGCAACATTGCGCGGCGGGCATTTATGCGTCGCTCGAGACTGACAGCGAGCCTGCGACCGAGGGGTTGGAGGATGCGATCAGGCCATACACGGCCATGTACAGCCCTGCATGACGAGCGATCCACTTTGAATGTTCAGCCCGCGCTGCACGTTTTGAACGCGGGCGGACAATTAAGGATCGATCGAGTCACCCGCAACTTCACGACTGCTGTGACCCACAGTCACGGCAGTCGTGAAGTGGTAGTCACGGCGTGGATCCCAAAGCATGCGCGCGGCGTGATCCAAAGCATGCACGTGCGCTTCCCGTCACGCTTCCCACAAAGCAGCATATGGGCGCTTGATGTGAGGCGGGAAAACCACGAATGGGCGTTGAAGTGCAGCTCATTGTGAATAAATTGATGCGCGCTCGGCACCCGCGCACGCGGAATGACTATACACTCTCGCGACATTACACTCGGCAGGTGCCGGCGGAAGTGCTTGTCGAGATGCGGCCGGCGGCACCGCCGGGTTCCTAGCTGCTGCACGCGCGGCGCCTGCGTGCAGCCGTGCAGAATGCGGCGTTCGCGCCGCGCGTCCTCCACTTTTGTGAAACCTTCTCGTCGGCGCGCGCGCGCGCGCAAGGCAAGTCGTCGAGACGTGCTCCACAACACTCGCGAAGACGTTACCTTTTCGTAGAGTGGTGAACGCTTTGCACGACACATCGAGTCGCACGCTCAGCGTGAGCCGTGGAGAGCACCTTGGGCGACCAAAAAGGTATATAAACCCCGCCTTTGAGCACGATTCATACCATCTCTTCTTCCCCATCCAGATCAATCTTCTCTGCTCTGCCAATACTCTTACACTCGCAACTAATACTCTACTCCACCCCACCTCTTTGCCAAAATGCAATTCACCACCGCTTTCGCCACCCTCGCTCTTGGAGCCGTCGCCGTCCAGGCCGGTCACCAGATCAACTTTAGCGCACCCGGCTGCGACAATGCCATCATGCAAGTTCCCGGCCACGGCAACTACGGCACTGGAACTTACGACTTTGGTGAGGTTAGCGGTGTCATCGCCTCTGCTGCCAAGGGCGTCCAGTGCTCTCAGGATGGTGTTCCTTGCTCCTCCATCGAGTTCGCCCTCAACGGAGGCGTCTCCTCGGCCGACAACACGCTCATCAGCCCTCACAAGTACACTGGTGCCATGAGCTTCACCCTCATCGGTGCTAACCCCGGAGACAAGGGCCCCAGGTGAGCCGAGAGCCGAGAGCCGAAGGTGGCATGGCTGTCGATGTAGACGTTAGACTGATCCACGTTGCCCCCCTCTTTCACCGCAGCGCCACCTGCGACAACCCCAACTGCGGACCTGACAATGCCTTTTACATTGACGGCACCGACGCTCAGGTCAGTAGCCTCGCGCCATGCGCCGCGCGCACGCTCTTGTTTCTCGCTGATACAGTCACGCTTCTCGTCGCAGTCCCAGCGCCAGGTCAACGACGCCAACGCCGGCATCAACCTCTCCATCACCTGCTAAATGGATGTCGGCATTGCGTCACGCCAAGAGAGGAGCCCAACGTACCTCCCCATGCCCCTAGCGCCTGCTGTTGGTGGCATACGACCACACTATTACTAGCTACCTAATGAATGCGAACAATTGATGCTTTTTCTCTTCACTGTGGGGTTTGCGGCGACACATGCCTGTACGTACCAGTAAGCTCAAACCTGACGCGACTCGGCAAGACGCAGTAAAGCGCCAGGACGTGATGCTGTCGCAGGGCCACACGAGGCACGCTATGGACTCGCACAAGTCGCCGGTGATAGCCATCTTGAATGGGCCGGCGTCAGCACACTTGACTCGAATGCTCGGCAAGGCGGGCATCACGCAGCGTCATTGTCTGCAACACGTACGTGAGTGCAAAGTTTGTGTGAATGAAGTCAGACAGGCTCAGCTTGGACGCATTGCGTGTCTTGTCAGCAAGCATCGGCGCCTATAGCGCGTGCACGGCGCTGCTGACTTCAAGGCGCGCGCCACTCACAGCTAGCGCGCGGCTCGCAGACCACGGCGTACGAATTAAGCTTTGGCGCATCGTTACGCATGAGCGTGCAGCGGGCGAATTGCGCCCACGCAGCTTTTGCGGCACCACCAGCAGGCAGGCAGGCAGGCACGACTTGGGCTTAGCGAAGCGGTGATTCGACTGCAATGTGAATTCCCCGCACCGCCCGCGCGTCCGCTTGGCGAAATTCACGATTGCATTTCGCACTTTACGTCCCGATCAGCCATCGTGCGGAGCATATATGCAGCTAGGCTGCGTACGTCGCTGCTTTGGCAGCGCTGTAACCAGGCACAGACTCGTGAGTCTCCCAGTAACAATTGGCGATAATATAGCAAGTCGGCGCCGCAGGTGTGCGAGTGCATCCACCGCGCGCGGCCTCTACAAATCGAGCGCGCGACCAGACGAAGGTGACGCACCAGACGCTGCCTAGAGTCTGAGTGACAATGTTGCGCACGCACGCACGCGCACGGTTGCGTGGCGTGGCGCGCCAAGTCAAAAGCAACTCTCTCGCAAACGCCGCCGGAAGGATCGTGTGCGTCTGTCTAGTGTGATGAGACGCTTGCTGCAGGAATGCAGAACATGCTGCGCATCTCTTGAGCAACGTTCCGCATTCATTTTAGCGCAACGCAGGCGTGCACGCCCGTGTGCGCGCGCGCGCTGAGACAGCACGAGGTCACTCCCCTTCACACTCACGACTCGTGACTGTCACTATAGCGTGCCAACGCGTCTACCACGCGCGGCGTGAGGTCATCGCGGCGATGCACCTTATGCCGGTGAACCTCATCCCATGTCCTCTTTCTCACCATCACTCGTGACTTTGTTGTCAAAGCCCACCCACGTGACTGCTCTCGCAGAATCACGATCATGACCGACTGTGCAACCGCATCCACACGTCCTACATGGACAGATGCCCAGACACGGACTGTTCACAGCATCAGAGCCGCCATGGCGGGCTTTAAATCTCCAGTCGTGCCCCCACTCACGTTGGAAGAGCTGAGCAGGCTACCGCAAGACTCTGTCGCTCCTGCAGGCATCTCCATCACACACGCTGTTGCTCAGCCTTGCAAAAATTTGCCACTCGAGCTTGTGCAAGACACAAACATCCAGCCCAAGCCCGTCGTGTACTGGACCTACCGCGCAGAAGGCGACCCAGCCGTGCCAGCCAAAGCGCTCTTTTATGTTCATGGAGGAGGCAACACGACCAACTCGCCCGTCAGCACCACGTACATTCCGCGCTTTCATCAGCTCCTCGAAAGTGCTGGAAAGAAAAAGACGGTGGTGGTCGCGCCTGCTTATAGATTGGCAACCGCGCCAGAGAATGCTTTCCCTGCTTCTCTTCAAGACGTCTTTGCCGCGTACATGGCGTTGCTGCACGACCAGGGCTACGAGGCCCAAAACATCAGCCTGATCGGTGACTCGTCGGGTGGCAACCTTGGTGCGTACGTGCGTGCGTGTGTGCGTGCGTGCTATGCCCGTACGACGCCTGCGTGCTAACACCGAGCCCCGTACACGCAGTGCTCGGCCTGTTGAAGCTGCTTGGCGATGCTGGCGGAGCACTGCCGTCAAAAGTCGCTCTGCTCGCTCCTGCTGGCGATCTGACGCACATTTTCAGCGCTGAAGCTGCCTCTGCAGCCGACGTGGATCTTTTTGCCTACGAGTCGTACGAAGAGATGGCCGGCAACTACTTGTACGAAGCGAGCTCCTCCATGGCCAAAGCTTGCGGTCAAGCGCCCTCCTCCTACCGCATCTTTCCGCGCGATCATCCTCTCGTCTCTGCAGCCCACGTGGGTGCTCAAGGATGGGCCAAGACTGCAGCGACCGGATTTTCTGGCGTGCGCATCTGGGTAGGCGATGCGGATCAGCTGGCGGATGCCAGCCACAAGATTGCGAATGATCTCAAGCAGGCTGGCGCGCGCGACGTTCAGATCAAGGTGCTGCAAGACATGCCCCACGGATTCTGGATCCTCGACGTTTTTCCGCAATGCGGCCAAACGTGGAGAGAGGTGGGCGCGTACGTGGTAGCTTGACTCTGCCCTGTGTCGGTGTGAGTGTCAGGTGAGGGTGACGAAAGGCGATTTCGACAGAATGGACTGCCAGCCAAGCTGCTCGGGGCAATAGCGTGGATCTATCTTGTATTGTACGGTTCTTCTCACGCAGAACCCTTAATGGATTCATCGCTGACTTCCAAACGTGCTCGACGTGACGAGCAGACGAGGACGTTGCGCTCGAAGCCTAGGGTTAGGGTTAGGGTTAGGGTTAGGGTTAGGGTTAGGGTTAGGGTTAGGGTTAGGGTTAGGGTTAGGGTTAGGGTTAGGGTTAGGGTTAGGG